ACACTACGAACATAATGCCAATCGAGACGATATCATTCTCAGTATCTTCTTCCACACCAGAAACAAATGCACTAATCACTGATCTTATATCAGAACAGAATGAGTATTTCACCGCATCCTCTAAAAGATCACCTCGAATACCGTTGTCGCCGACATTATTGCCGACAACTTCTTCACCAGCACAAATAATTACAACAGTCACTGATCTTATATCGGACAACACTTCTTCCTCAGATGTGGAATTAACTATCAATCCTTCTTTCTACTCCTCTTCTTCAGATGTTAAAATGTTCACGCCTAACTCTTCACCGAACGAAGAAGTAAATTCACTCTGTGTTCCCTCGTATAACTCCGATAATTCCGTAGATCATGATTATGATTCTGATGATTGTGATTCTGACGATGTTGATGATGATGATGATGATGATGATGTTGATTATGATGACAAGACTAACGAGGAAGACGTTCTTGGTTACTTTGATAAACATTGTCATCGGTTCAATCATTATGATTCTTCAAACATGCATAACAAAATAATGATGCTGAGACTTTTCAAGTGTTGTCGTATACTTTACACATATTATCATGATCTTTCTAATTCAAGTCATGGATTATATCGATTATGTCATGACTATTTTAAATGTTAAATCACGTATTCTACTTCTCGTTTACACTTTGCATGAGATACCTGACTTAAATGTTCTGTTTTGTTAGAAGTATTTTCTCTCTACTGTTTGTTTGTAACTATGATAGATATACTAACACAGAGATGATACGTTCAGTTTTCAATTTAACTAATTTTTGTTACGTTTAATCAGTTTAATGTGTTAATAATAATAATAATAATAATAATAATAATAATAATAATTACTTTGGTGTACACTGTGAATTGAAATAAATAACACTGATCATTTATATTATTCCAACTTTTTTGTCTGTTAACTTTCAACTCACATTTCTCAACTTTGCTACAAAGATGGGTAATGAGTGCTTTGGAAAACCTTATATCATTTTCTCTCTCAGTAGTTAGTCAGTTGATAATGTAACACTGATCAATGGACGGGTTTCAATCCGTTCTGAAAAACAGAATCATTTTTTAAACATGTAGTGTACTGATAGATAAGAATGAAAACTGTAAATGGATTGAATAATTGTTCTATCCTACTATGAAACACTCAACCAATGTTACTCTGCAACGAACATCATCTATGAATTAAATCATTCCCTACAGACTGTTTCATACAAAATCCAACAAATTTGTACAAAATCTTTGAGCTTTATCAACATTGTCTGTTACTGATCTATAGATTTATAGTTCACAGTAAATACTTTTTTTAGTGATGCACGAAATAATAATGATAGCGACCTTACAATGTGATCATGAGGATGTTACATAAATCAACCGAACTGATTTTGTACAACTGAAATTCAGAATAGCTGAGTTCTTGAGAACTGTGTTTACTTTGATGTTGAATTAGGAATACACTGTTCAGTAGTTGGACTGTATTAATAATAATGATAATAATAGTAATTATTGTTATAATGATAATGATATTATGTATGATGGTGATAGATGAACACTGTACCAAATATCGGGTTCATATTTTCTGTTCAACACTCACTCTGCTTTGCCTGGATGTGTTCTAGGTAGTAGTGGAAAGAGTTCGGATGTGTATGAATATCACTAGAAAAATCGCGAAACTTTGAGTGTCTATCCTCTAAATTACAGTGTAGCAAAACAAATGAGTATTCATTGATCTTAGTGCTAATGGATTGAAACAGAATTAGGTAGAAAATCAAGCAGTCAAATTATTTTTTGCAAAAGGCTAAACTCCTACTCTCCACATTCATTGTTTCACACTTGTGTTTGCCCGCCTCTACACACAAACAGATGTTCTATTCTACCCTACCAGTATTGTCTTTTGTGTGGTGATATGTGTTATTTGAGTAGAAAACTGAGATGGACTTTATGTCTGTATCACTAGATTATGTCGAGTCAATTTACATTTACGCTTTTTGTAGTGATGTCTGACATTAGTTATTACATTTAGTCAATAAATAATAATTAATGGAAACATTTCTGTGCAGTCAGTTCCTTTGATAAACATTGTAAAGCCTGAATATCAAAAACACTATTGGATGTAGTGAATTCGTCATTTCATTGCACACGAACGTTGGTGTGAACAGGTAGATGAAAATGTTTCGCAATTGCAATTTGACATTTAGTATACAAAATGTCATGTAGTCCACCAGGGAAACGGAAGCTGAAATTTCTATCTGTTGATAATTAATAACTATTAAACAAACATCGATGATGTGGCTTTTACCAATTCAGTGTTGAGCTGATTCACTATATTTACGTGATTCATGTCAACAATTTCATGGAAAGCACTACGCATTTCATTGAATTTTCTAATCAACAAACATGAACTTTTCATCTAACATTATAAATTAAAACAACTATTCATCAGTAAAACAGAAAAATGAATTTTACCACATTGATTAACTAATCCAGACGCATCATACACATTAGATTTTACATTGAATTCATGATAATATAGTCTGTAATAACCACAATCGTTTATCAGGTGCTCAATAGAGACTAGATTCATGAGGAATTTTCTCTAAATCCCTAGTAAGAAATCGTAACCAGTGGAGTTAAACGCTGTCAGGTGTGAAGCAGTGCCCACCGGAACACAGAGGATGACGTTGCGCAAGACTGTGAGTTGACCAAAGTTAGACACTGGCGCCGTTGGATGACAGGTTGGTGGTCCCAAGTTTGAGAGTTCGCGTGCGAGACTAAAGGTCATGGGTACAATTGTTACTACCTTAGATCATGTATACACAATGATGATGTGTCCCATACTGGAACGAAACAGCTGTCTAGTACTTCTAGTACTAGCTTCTAGTACTTATAATTGTGGTCTAACGTTGATCGATTTATGATTTCACTGAAACGATTTATCTTACATAAATGAGAACTTGAAAAATAATGCAACATCTTGTATAGTCGATAACAAAAAGTTAATTTGTACGTTGAGTAAACATACGACTATATCAGTGTGAATATCAATGAATGTTATTAGCAATCATAGCAGTATATATATATATATATATATATAACAACTACATCTATTCTGAAAATAATAATTACAGAATTCATACCAATTTCCAGGCATAGTTGGCTTGATGAAGACAGAGGTGCTTAATATAAGCATAGATATGTCATGTCACACTGTTCAAAGCGTTCCATTTTAAGAAACTGTATAAACAGTACATTTTTTTGATAAATAACAGGGATGCAAGGTATCAGTCAGAAGCCATAATTTCTTTCTAACTGGACATCCTGTGTGAAGGATGTACTCATTGTCATCTGCAGCGCCATAACGGATTGGTTATAGTCATTTACAACGAGAGAAAATAAGACGAAGATAGACAGCACAGAACTAAGGAAGCAATAGTTGCAACGATACAGCATTCAGGTTAATCAAATCTATCATGATTCAAGTACGAGGTTAGTTTATGATTGAATGTTTGAGTTGAATACTTACTATTCAGATTAGTTGAATTTACAGGGAACAGTTCAAGTGTAAAGTATCTGCACGTAAGGAGGTTAATTGATTCAAAATTTGGAGTTTACATAATCTTACTTGTGAAATGAGATCTACTTACAGTTGTAAGCACATTGAAGTCATTTTCTGAGGAGTGGTAGGAATCGATGCAGCGAACAAAGGATAAGAGTGGTTTTATTTCACGGATATGAATTAGGTTGAAGCATAAATAAAATTAACTCATTGAAATCATCATCTTTCGAAGTTCTACATTCCTACATCTAAATTAATAATCCAAAATGATAATGAAGTTTAAGACGAACTGCATCACTTAAAATAGTGTGATTTGAAGTTGAGATTGCTTTTGAAACAGAATCAAATGCTGAATGTTGAAAACACTAGTATGCAATGTTAACTTGAGTAAGTTTATACACTGAATGGAAGTGTAGGATTAACAGCCAAACATAACATAGCAATCGACAACCGTCTATTTCTACCATAGGCCTTCTAGGCAGTGAACACTCACGACCCCATTATGTCTGGAACAAAGGACTACTTGCCTGTTGCATCTTGCTTAGATCCTAGGCTACTGAATTGGCACCTGACAGTGTCTGGTAGTTCCCGGTTTTCGATGGTTGTCTGACTAAGAAGGTCAGTGATGTGAAAGGTGGAAACCAAACAAATAACAAAAGTGTTAGCATATTCATCCTATATTCTAAGATAATAGTTTGCAAGTCTAATTCTATTGGTTGTCCTAAGTATCAATGCCACAGACTTCAATGTTGTTTCCGATCCAGCCTAATTGTATAAATAAGCATTATCTGTAAAGTTTTATGAGCCGGACCCGGATCCATATTCCAGAATCCTGATTCTCTTCTGGACTCGGAGTCATGTACTTTCTGGATGCTTGTAGAATACATGTTCTACTTCATATCAGCTATGCTTTTTTATTCAATGGGGGTTTGGGACACTCGGATTAGAGTGGCATGTCGTGTCGCCCAATCATCGATCCTCGCTCTCGTTTTCCAACTAAAGTAAACTCGTAATAGTTCAAGCATATCAAAATGACGTATATACGTGCATGCGTAACAAAAAGTCACACATACAAGCAATGCTATCTGAATAAGAAAAATTTAGAGAGGAATAGTTTGTAGCTAGAAGTAGAATACAGGATCAGCGTATCGTCTTCCTGTGATTCGTCAGATGGAAGTACCTGCATACTGGTGTGAATGATTACTCTTGAACTCGTCATCTGTCACCACTGGAAATACTCAGAACTTGACGACAATACTGTAACAATCCGTTCAGGATGTGCAAATATCAAAAATGACCGGTCGCAGTCCTTCACTTCAACTACCAAAAAATTCAGACAACTATGACCAATGAATCAAAATTCACCACACCACACAATTAAGCGGCTATCTGGACTCAGTTGCTCAGTGGATTATGCGGCATGTTTAGAGTGAAGGTACTGGACTTGAGTGAATGTGAACATCAACACCAGTGTGCAAGTGCATTCGGCTGAACAGTCCTAGATAGAGCAAAATCCACGCTATGGATCCAAATGCCAGTCACATTCTATCCATTCTATAAAACGCATGACACAATAGCTGTTAGGTTTGTGTACATTTTCTGTGCTCATTCTCTGCCCATTCAACTTGTTTTATGTGTATTGCTTTATACTATTTGTTAATATTGAGTAGACAATGTGTGTAAGGCAGGTTGATTTAATATATGATATTCTAAAGTATTTACACAAATTAATAACTTTTATTGTATTCAGGTTTACTACAATTATTATTACTTCCCTTCAACTCTTGAAACTGTTATTCACAATTTTAAATGTACCTTGAAACCTTGTTAAAACTCAACAGGTTCCATACTCGTGTGCTTTCAGCTTCTTATCGAATGCTGATACATTGCTGTTGACATCAGACACAACTTTCAGCTGTGATTTACACAATCGAGGCAGTTTTCTTTCCAGATATTCAGATGTATCAACCTCCCTGAACAACTCACGAGTTGGAGATCTATACTTGATTGTTTATTATTTAATAAAAGAACTGTTCCTCAGCCAAATCATTGCTTTTCAAATT